TCTGGTAATGGGAATTCTCATCACAAACTTGACTAGTGCGTCTTATGAATCAGTTTGCGAGCATTTTCGGGGAATATATTTGACTCACTGTCTGCATTGCGAAATTAATGAATTGTTAAAACTCACACTCTGAATGCCTAGAGCTTATCTTGTTTTCAACTGAAACTCTTGGAACCCTTGGAGGAGATGATGTAATGGACCGAAGCTAGTGGAAGTGAAACTCAGTAAGCTGCTGTTGCAGTCCTATTAACTAATTTACTTTACTTTACGGCTGCTTACACCTGGGAGAGAATCAACCGGCTTCATGAATATTCCGAATTTCCGCTGCCCAAGCTAGGCTGTCTGCTGCAAGATCAGCGCAGGTTGTGATCCAGCTTACCTTTCACTGGTGACGGAGCTGAGACCAAGATTTTCTGTATCCTTGCGTAGCGTGTCTAGCCAGGTTTTTCGCTGCCCATTGTTTAGACAGCGCCAGTTCATGCAAAGAGGCGGTGCCAAGGTCAGGTCGTTATCAAACCTACGAAGTATGTGACCAAAGAATTGTAGTCGCAGCCGTTGTTTTAGCTTCCGCAGTGGTACAAAATTAAAACGCCGGTTTCTGACCGCTTCATTTGAGAATTGATCTCTCCATCGTACTCCTAGGATGATCCTTAGGTACCAGTAATCGAAGACTTATAATTGTAAACAGTCAGGTTACGCAGCCGTGTAGTAAGTCGGGGTGCACTGTTGTGGAGAAAATCTTCCTTGCAGCATCGACACGCACTCCTACCTCGTCTTCAGCTTGACCTTCGGGGATTATGGTTGAGCCGAGGTAGTTAAAGCTTTCGCAGTCCTATACTGGCCCTTGAATTCCAGAGGATGTTTTCGTTGTTTTCCTATAAGGGTCCGACAAGCACTAAGATCATCGATCGATCGGATGAGCTAATTTAAACAAAGGACGTGACATACTCAGTTAATGCGAGCGAGAACCATGTCGATGGGCCTCCACTTTTTAGAATTCCCAGTAAAGTTCAGGTACGCAAGCCAGTAGTACTAGTAGCACAGGAGTGGACAACAGGCAATACCACCAACAACAAGGGCATAATAAACATTCCAAACTGGTGATCACACACTCTCGTGTCAGGTTGAGGATTTAAAGTTGTAAAAAATGGTGATAATTTGTAGCAGGCGCAGAAGGCACTGATCACGAATTATGACTTACGAACAACGAATTACGGATCACGAATAATGAACGCAACTGAAACGCTGGATCTCACCAGTATTTGCACGTTAGAATCTCCCGTAACTGAGACGCAGGAAAAAGGCCAGAGGAAGAAATCAATGGGACTAAACAGCATGTACAGTGGAAGTTTATTGGTTATACGGGTATCCACCGATGGCCTGCTTGTATTCTTGGCGTCATACAGCTTCCGTTTGGAACGCATGACTTCTGATTGGTCGGCACGATTGGCCTGTGATTCGTTGTCCGGAAACTATAACGCGTG